CAGATATATTGCTATTAATTTTGCGTCCAAAAAGCAGTTTTTCCAATTTCCCAAAAAAAATCATATTTTCACCGAAAACCCAAGGCTATAGCCCATGTTTTTTCTCAAATTTTGAAAAAAATAGTTTTTCCTTATATTTCAACACAAAGATGCCAATGATGTAAGACTTTCAAAATGGATATCCTTTCATCAAAATTCCCAATAGTTATTTCATAATCTGTTATCAAAATTTCGGCTTTCTTCGATTTTACTTTTTCTTTTTGTTTTTTTGTTTTTTGTCTTCGGTTATATTCTAAACAACTAAGAGTTTTAAAAACTGGATTATTCAAACAAAATCGCAACATCTAAAAGGCCATGACGTTTCTTATAAAATAAACACCACGTTTGGCATTGTGTTTACTCTGGGTTATCGAAAGTCATATTTTTTTTTACCTTTTCACGGGACATAATGTTTTTATTTAATGCTATAATGTCTCGATTTTGAGTTTTCCGACGCAATAAGCACTATCCGATAGATTTCTAATAATTTTGCGTCAAAAAAACATTTTTTCCATTTTTCCAACAAAATTCAATTTGTCATCGAAAAGCCAAGGCTATCGCCAATGTTTTTTCCCAAATTTTTGAAAAAATTGTTTTTTCCTCATATTTCAATACAAAGGTGCCCTAGATGTAAGAGTTCCAAAATGGATATCCTTTCATCAAAATTCCTAATAGTTATTTCATTATCTGTTATCAACACTTTTGCTATCTTTGATTTTACTGTTGTTGTTTTTTGTCTTCAGTTATATTGTAAACCAAAAAAAGAGCTCTAAAAATAAGATTATTCAAACAAAATCCCAACACCTTAAAGTCTATGACGTCTTCTTATAAAATAAACTCCACCTTTTAGATTGTTTTTCCTCTGCGTTAGCGAAAGTTCAATTTTTTTTATCTTTTCGCGTGACATAATATTTATCATTAATGCTATAATGTCTCAGTTTTGAGTTTTCCGACGAAATAAGCACTATCCGATATTTTTCTATTAATTTTGCGTCAAAAAACCACTTTTTTCCTTTTTTTCTAAAAAATTCATATTTTCACCGAAAAGCCAAGGTTATAAGCTATATTATAATACAAAGATGCCCCCTATGTAAGAGTTTCAAAATGGATATCCTTTCATCAAAATTTCCAATAGATATTTCATAATGTGTTATCAAAATTTCGATTTTACTGAATAAGCAAAACAAAATTAAAATATGATAAATAAACACAAAACTTTAATAATTCACAAGTTTGGTAAACAAAATATTTAAAATTCGCAACACCTTTATCTTCATTGCAAACGTTGATACAGGCAAATTTTTCATAAAAACCTTAAGGCTTAAAAACGAGAATTTAGTCAATAATATTATATTTTTGAAAAGCCCCTATCCAACACACTATTTCCTTTGAAGAAAACGATAACCTATGATACAAGAATTTTTACCAAAATACAAAGGCCTTAGGTGTTTTCACGAAACAAACGATTTCTTATATGCGGATTTCAGTGGGTATTTTGATACATAAACAATAAACAGTGGCGACCTTAGAAGAAAAAAAAATTTTTTTAAAGCCCATAACAAATACAAGTTTCAGCTGAAGAACATCAAAATCTATAATTCAATTTTTTTTTAAAAAATCAAAGGCCTCTGGTATTTTTATGAAAAAAGATTTTTTACATATTGAGATAATTGCGTATTTTAATGCAGGAGAAACGTGTAAGTTCACATTTCCCATTAAATCATCAATAATAAAATAATTTACAGACTTAGAGTTTAAATTAAAATATATTTTTTTTGAAACAGTGATTGATTGCATCTTTCCTTAAACAATGGAATTAGCAAAACAAAATAATATTATGAGAAATAAACACAAAAATTTAATATGTCACAAGTTATGTAAACAAAATATTGAAAATTCCCAACCCTTTTATCTTCATTGTGCCCCCCAATGGTACAGCGGTATGTCTGCGGACTTACAACGCTAGAATCCGGGTTTCGATACCCATGGTGGGCAGAGCACAGATATCCCTTGTGTAGCTTTACAAACAAACGAACTTATCTTCATTGCAAGAGTGAAGCGAACTCAAAGATGGTCAAAATTTTCATAAAAACTCTTTACATCAAAAATCCCTATATTTAAGCCTTGAATTATTCTGAATTGTTCCATTTTACTATACGGCTCAAAAGAAGAAAGTTAACACAAGTGTATGAAAACGACGAATTCTTTATTCAAAATTACTAAACCTAAAAGGTTATTGCGCTTTTTAATAAATGTATTCCACGTTTATCTTTGTTTTATTCTACTTAAGAAAATATTTTTATTTCCAAGCGATATAATATTCTCATTTAACGCATTTTTGTTGAATTTTTTTTAGAAATATAGATAATCGGATACATCACGCTAAAGTTAGCATCAAAATGCGCACTTTTTTGGGTAGTTTGAAAAAAAAAATTTCCATTAAAACTACCAAGGATATACCTTCGAAATTTGGTAAAAAAATTATTTTTGTATTATTAGACTAGAAAAATTATTTTCAAAATAGAATTCTTTCCATCAAAACTCCTAATATTTAAGCCTATAATTGTTCTGAAAATTCCGGCTATCTTCCATTTTAATATACTTCTCAAAGAAGAAAGTTAATAAAAGGTTTTCAAAAAGACAAATTGTTTATTAAAAATTCGCAAATCTAGAAAGTTATTACGGAATCTTTTTAAATTTTAAATGAGAATATTTGATCGCTTTTGATTGTAATTTATCTTAAGTAGATGAAAAAGAAAGTGAAAGAGGCAATAAATTTATAAAGACCCTCATATTGCGAGTCGAGCGCCCTAACCACCTGGCCATGCCGGACATTTAGTGCAGTAACCAATTTTTATTTCTTAGAAAAACTCAGTAATGAAGCATTACGAGCATGTTCGAATCCCCGTCACACCAAAAAAAATCTCGCCCTTTCAGCCGTGGGGGCGTTATAATGTGACGGTCAATCCTACTATTCGTTGTTAAAAGAGTAGCCTAAGAGTTGGCGGTGGGTGGTGATGACTAGCTGCCTTCCCCCTCGTCTTACACTGCTAAATTAGGGACGGCTAGCGCAGATAGCCCTCGTGTAGCTTTGCGCGAAATTCAAAACAAACAAACTACACTAAATATTTCATAAAAATACGCTATTCTTCGGGGTTTGAAAAATATTTATTCTTCATCAAAAATACTTTGTATTTTTTGAAATTTGGTAATAAAATTATTTTCGTATTATTGGACTAGATAAATGAACTCGATATACGATTTTCAAAATGGAACTCTTTTCATCAAAACTCCCAATATTTAAGCATTGAATTGTTCTGAAAATTCCGTCTATCTTCCATTTCACTATAGAGCTAAAAAAAGAAAGTTAATACAAGGGTTTGAAATGGGGAATTTTTCATTCAAAATCTAATAGGTTATTACGGCCTTTTTTCTAAATGTATTTTATCTTCTTTAACTTTGTTTTATTCTACTTACGAGAAATTTGTTTTTTAAGTTTCGGACGATATGCTATTATCATTTAAAGTCGTAACGCTTCATTCCAGAATTTTTCTTAGAAATAAAGATAATCGGATACTCACGCTAAATTCTTAAAAATCACTTCATATCAACTCTTTCATGACGTCAGTCGAAACCACACACCATCAACTGCAGACCACCTCTTGATGTCCGATCTACAATGGGTAACATCAAGACATCCCCGAATAACCCGAAAAAAACCCTCGTTTTCAAATTCCCGCCATAGTCTTTTGTCTCCAAAACTAGAGACTTGAAGAAAATATGGAAAAGCGTACCAAAACGTCATCTCTACCAAACAAAAGACAAAAAAAAAAAAAACTTACCACCAGGTAGATTTTTCATTATGAATCTGTATTACAAAGTTTAGAACTTATCTCTCAAATAGATATTTTCACGTAACTTACAACAGCATAGCTTAAGCATAAATGCAATACACAAAGTGCAAACAAATAATTCCCCATTTGCTATTACGGTAGTACTACTTACTTCGTACTGTAGTCTTGAATTAAATAAAAAGGTTTAAAATATAAAAAAAACGTAAATGTACTGTACATTTCACACACACGAAACACAAAGAAATTTCTGATTCCTACAAAACCACTTTACTAATTACTTCAATAAAAAATATTTACTTTGTGTAACGCTATTTTCGTTTTTATTGAATTATGTAATACTTTTATTTACGAGTCTACTTATCTTGGGCTTAAAACTTCTCAACTATTTCTTTAATAATTACGAAATTAACACACATATATTTTTGTATAATTTTACGTAAACTACTAAAGTATTTTATTAAAAATAAATTAATATTGTTTTATACGTTTTATGGACTCCCTTTTATTACTTAGACAAAAATATTACAGCAATTTGATTAATTATATGATGGCATCATCACATAATAAATGAAATGCGACTGAACATATTTTGTAGTTTTTACACTGTTAACAGATGGCGGCACTAGCATGATAAACTTGAATTCCTGTTATCAAAGCAGTCATCATTATACACAATCATATGTAATCTTACAATTACTAAAACAATTCTTTTTATCACTTTCTCGAGAAAAATAGCATATCATTCACTGAGTAATATCAAAACCAAAATAAAAGAGTCCAGTTTTACGTTTCTTTCTTTCTTCCTGATGTTTTTTCTTTCGAGACAGATGCATATGAAGTCTCTGTAATTGCACTGTGGATGCATTGCAAAAATAAATAACAATGCAATGCAACTACAATGCACGACAGAAGCACCCAATTCACATGTATTTTTATTACTCCTGTCATTAATATATAAAACAAGGTACTGTTAAGTTATTAATTGCACATCATCAAATGTTAAAGAGAAGTTATCGATATCATTGAAAATGTATTTCTTTACTGATTTATTTGGTTCAAGATTTCAATTTCAGTGATAGAGTTGTTATTATTTACAATTAGAGTAAGTCATTCTATAGCAACTTAAAAAGACAAGAGTACAGAAAACTAATTTAAATTACAAAGTTTATATTTGCAACATTCTATTATACAATACTGCTAAACGTAGATGCATTTTTCACATATCCAATAAATATCTGTGAATATTGTACCACAAAACAAACAATATTTGTTATAATTTGTATATCTAAATTGTTTACTCCTAATGCATTACAAGTTTCAATTTTTTTTAATAATATTGTAACTGATGTTTTATTATAGATAAATTTAATGAAATATTACACTTAAATATAAAAAAAGGTAAAAGTTACTAGCCAAACATAAAATGATCTTCATGCAAATTGTATTTTTTTATTCCTACTTAGGTTATAAACATAAGCATATTAGATCCTTACCCAAGTAGAAATGCCAGAAATTTCGACTCAGGACAATTAATGTAATAATATAGTCCCGTAACTTATATTACGTATACAAAGATATACGTAAAGTTTTTTTTGTATTTGGTTGAATGTTTCTTCAACGCGACTACAAGGAGAAATTGCCTGGGATTTGTTTTTATGATGTACTGAACTTGTTTTACTATTACTCGACTATGGCTCCTATTACATACCGCAAAGGACTTATTTTACGATTTTTAGTGTATCGGTTACCTAAAATTGTATACTTTAACTAAGAAGACGAGTATGTCCTGCAATATTTGCATGCACTTTAATGAATCTACATATGCTTGTCTGTGAGAATTGGTACGTCAGAATACTGCTATCCGGCTCTTACCCTCGTCAGAGTCCTTTTTTTATTTATTTTTACTTTTAAATTTTAAATTTCTTTACTGATATATATATATATATTTCTTTTTTTACTTCCTGCACCTAACTGTATGCAAAATATGTATTGATTGCTATGATTTTCTTTTAATATCGTATGTACTAGAATAAGTACACTGTAAAAAGAACAAAAATAATTATCAAATGTAACTGAGAAGAATAGCACACGCGTTTACCGGTGGCAGAGTGATAAGTTCATTGCCTTACAATGCCAAATTCCGGGTTTGATTTCCCGCAATGGACACAGCATATTGCTACATGTGATATTACTGTAAAATAAAACAAAAAACTGACGTATGAAACCCTTGTTTTGCCACTGTAATAAAATTGCACGGGAAAGGTATGTTTAACAAGAATTAATGACAGGGCATGGCCCTAGCTACATTTGCACGTTTTCTTTGTCCTGTTTTATTTGCTGGTCTTGACGCTCTGGGCTACGTCTACTTTCCATTTCTTTATGTCACAAGCTCTTACCCCCCCCCCCCCAAATAACGTCAGAAATTCGTCACCACGTTATTTTAAAAGTGCTTTACAAATTATGCATTGCTTTCCTTGAACTTGTTTTGTTTGTTTTGTTAAATTGCGCGCAGAGCTATTCGAGGACCACCTGCGCTGGCCGACACTAATTTTGAAATGATAAGAGTAAAAGAAAGGCAACTAACTAATCAACACCACCTTCTGGGCTACCCTTTACCAACGAATGATGGGATTTGCCATAAACATATAACGCCCCCAAAATTGAAATGGTATGTTCAGCGACAAGTCTCGATCTCGCAACCCGTAGATTGAAAGGGGAGCGCACTTCGGGCCATGACAGGCCTCTTCTTTAATTTATACTTTAATGGCATGTTTTCAAATTGGAACGAATCGTGAAACTTTCGTTTTATTATTTTTAAGAAATTTACCACAAACAATATATAAATTTGATTTGACATTTTTTTCTACTTTTAAAATACATACGAAATTTTAAAAAGTAATCATAAAAACAATACATGCTAGTCAAGAGCATATTTTGTTTATCATTAAATCAAAAAATAATCTAATATAAAATTGAGAAATAAAACAAAAAAAAGCAAATACATATATAAATATATATATAAACAAACAACGAAAAAGGCTCGTATACAAAGTGGCCCCATGCGGCAAGAGCCGGATAAAACCAACAGTGGTTTGAGGAACTAAATATCAGCAAACAACCTCATACAAATTCATTAAATTATATATAAATATTACAGGACACATCTGTTTGCTAGATACAATTTTAGGCAAATTAATGCAATGAAAATCGAAAATACGATTTTATTCCAGTCATTAATGGTATAATTTGTCTTTAATAAACATATTTTTAAAATCGTCGCCTATCGTATTACTAATAGTAATACTATTAGTATTACTAGTATAAATACAACTTAGTACTACTACTACTAGTAGTAATAGTAGCAGTGTAGTAGCACAAGTTACTACTACTATTTAAATGTTAAAAATACGACGAAAGTTTGAAGAGTGTGGTAAACTACGATACCCCATTTGATTTAATTATATATTCAGATAAATCTAAAGAAAAAAATATATAGGCGCTTAGGCCTAGTAGTAGTACGCAATTTAACACTTTTACACACTTAAAATAAAAGTTAAACTGTGTTGTCGTTCACAAAACTTTGTTTTTTTGGGGGGGTTATATTTATAATTTATAAACAGAGCGTACCGACATTATTGAAACATGCAATTTCTACACATTAAAACAAGTTTATCTTCAATAATCATTGTAGCTCATAGGGCTTAGCTTTTGGACAAAGGTCCACTTGATAAATATAAAAATTATCTTACCAAACATTTCAATTTTGGCATAACTCATCATATTATTTCAGTTTCGCATTTACGGTTTGCTCTTTTTAATCAAAAACGCGTCAGCCAATCACAAGCTCTCTTTCCATCGGATGATTTTTCGTCATAAGAACATTTTATTAAGGGACCGTTTCAAAATAGGAAACACTTAAATACTAATTTAAAAGTCCGTAAAAAGTATTTTTACTTTTTTAATCATACATTTTCATTGTATGAATTATTTTTGTTGTATATTAGAATTACAATTAATCATAATATTTCATAAAAAAGATATACAAATACTCTTTAATAAAATAATATGTAAATATAATAATCTAATATTATAAAAATGGGTATAATCTTATTTTTGATGATTTACACAATATTAAAATTAAATGAAACTTGTATATATATCTATATATATACACCCATTTTGCTTTTCAGACATAGTTAAATACCTAAAACTCATATTTTACTAGTTTATATCACTGAATATTGGTTAGGATACCTCGTCACAAACATTTGGGAATGACAGTTTATATTGTTAATAGTTAGCAACTAAAAACTGACTTGCGAAAAAAAATCTCCAAAAGTGTACTGCCACTAAAGTTGTATATGTGTAAGCTCAATATTGCAAACTATGGTGATTGATTCCGTACTAACAAAAAACTCAAATATATACAAGTTATTAAATTTAAATTCCTGTTATCATTGATAATTAGAGAAGTTTTGACATCTGTGTAGTCGATGGAGATGAAAACAAGGGGAATCCTCAAAAGCCGCGGCATTTGAAATCCTTTTTGGCAGGATTATTGTAAATCAATCTACGACACCTTTGTTTCCCTTTTTTATTAGCTATATTTTTGCGGCCAACAACAGCGTGGGGCGCGCGTATAGCAACTTCAATTTTATTATTCAACAGGATCTTTACCAGCCTACCCTCAAACTGAAATTTTTTTAGGCAGGATTAGAGTAAATTAATCTACGAGACTTTGGACATAGTCAAATACATCAATTGAAAGGATTTGACTTCCCGAGTCCAAAACTGTAGTTAGATCCCAAGTCGTTCAAGAGATGACGGAGCTATGAACTAAAAGTTTGTACTTGCAAAAAAAAAAAAGTCAGAGCAGTCTTATAAGCTGCTATGCCGCAGCTAAAAAAAAATTGTCTTGCTAATAATTACCTTAATTTGTAGAGCACTAATTGACGCCTAAGATTCCATGGGTTCCCTATTGCTCGCGGAAAACACAAGGGTGGGATTATCAGAGAAAAAGTGGGATTGTCACCTAAACCTCAGGTAAGACCCATGAATGGGCTTTGTTTGTGTTTGTTTGCCTTTGGCTCAGTTGGTAAAGTAGTTGATTGCGTGCAAAAGATGCTCTGTTTAGTCATACCTGCGGAACACACAAGCATGAGATTACCAAACTTGAAAATAACTTTTAACAACATTATTTGAAAAAATGTATTAGCAAAACACAAACCATTTTACTGAGCGTTAAGAAATTTATAATCAGATGTATTTTCTTAGTCAAAACAAAAAAAAAGGTTTTGAAATGTAATTGTATTTATCGTCTAACAGAATTTAGAACAATTAAGATCAAATTGTACATCACCGTCTAATGAGCAATTGAACGGTAAAAAAATAAGAATATTGACTTTTCTGTTCCCAGTTCTCAGATAAGAAGTCAATTTGAGAATGTCTCACCTATGACTAAATTGTACCCCCATTATTGACAATCTGAACAAAATGCTATAATAAAAATGGATAAGTCCGTAGTCTAGGCAAATTTTGTTGTACTGTTTTAGATTATAAACTTTAATTTGTAAATCTTACTGTCTCGAATGACGTACAACTTTAGAAATTTTTCTAATGAAAATTTTCAAAATAACTAAAATTTCATTAAAATTCAGTATCTACAAATGACATTTTTTGTATTTAACGCTATGAATCAAAATAATTTTTAAAAGCAGTAACTTTTTTTAATCTAGAAAGTTAATTAACAGACTGGAACGAGATAAATGCGCTAATCATTCCATTACAAATCGAATTTTCCATTTCGTCTTACACTTACAGAGTATAGAGCACGACTGATGAAGAACAAAATAGCAGCACTCAGTCCAATTATAAACTAGCAGGATATTTAAAAATATTTTCTTTTGGCAATGATTCCTTCCCATAATCTTAGAAATTAGCTTCTTTCTAATTTCTTTAATATTTTGGTATAACAGTTATTATGGTTTAAGAATTTCTTTGGCAATAGTCTTTGTTTGAATATTTCAAAAACTGTAATATCTAACTTAACAATACACTTTATTAGTAAATGAGAACCCGATATTTATACAATCACAGTTCTTGATTAACGAAACATTTTAAAAGAGTCATCTTCTCTGCAGACCAGGATTGTCATTTGAATCTGGCGTATTTTCAAATATTTATTACCAAATGTCATTCGTATATCTTGTATAGATATGAAATATATAGTTTTAAAAATGTTGATTGTATATATTTAGCTATTTCCGATGAACGTATGGTCGTACTAGGCTTTATATTCAATTACAAGTACAAACAAGTTTTAAAGGTTGTCATAACGTTTTTAATAGTTCCAAATAAAAAAAGGTATACATTTAAATTTCCTGATGTACTACCGTCAGAAAATTAGATAGTGGAAAGAATAGGAAATTAAAATATATTATTGCAAAAAAATGTTCATAAAGAATTAATTATATAAAATGTTTGATTAACGCTTAAAATTGTGTGTAAACAAGTATCATATCATTAGTTTTTGAACTTAAAATAGTATGTCTTTTAAAATTAAGTAACACTTTCACCAATAGCTGTATATTTCTACTTTTTTCAGATCTTTAATGGTTTTAGGTCAATTGGATTTTTTATAGGTTTTGTAATTAATTTGACTTGTGCTTCAAAAACACACCGAGAGGAAATTAACTGTTAGCGATTTATAAACGACTGTATTTAAAGAGGCTTATATTTTAAGCTTTAACAGCCTAAATATTATTTATGCTAACAAAAATTGAATCGCATGATTTCAGTTTCTTTAAATCTCTCAAATCAATGAAAAGAATCATCCACATTTTGTCCCAGTGTTTTCTTAACCTCAATCATTATTTAAATGTAAGTGCAAAAAGCAGTAAAAACATATTAATCTTACTCAATACATTGGAAATATGTATTTTAAAAATAATAATCTTTGTTTTCCAATTTATCCTAATTCTTTAGGATAGAAAATTAAATTAAAAAATTTATTTAAGACATTTTTAAAATTGCATGCAAATAAAAGATATTTTTAAAATGCCAGTATGATAAAAGTGATATATATATGCAGGAGGTACAAAAACTGATCAAAAACATATTTTTGAAAAATTAAAATTTTAAATTAAACTTATCACACTGTAACAGAATAGTGAATACTGTTCTTCTGATCTACTAAATACATTTTATGTTTCATGTCTTTTAAACTAATAACTGCAATTTTAAGACTAGGGTGATATTATAAATGACTTAAAAACACAAGATACTGGTTTTCTTTTAAAAATAAAATTTAGCAATATACTTTGTGTATCAGGCATTTTTTCCACGTCAATTTTATTTGCAAAACGAATCACTGTGCATATATACGAGATGCAAGTATACAAGATGAACCAAATCAAGTGACTGTTGCATCTATTTCTAAAACTGATTTTTACTTTTTAACTTCAAGTGTGTGTTTTTCAACTTTTTTGTGTCGAGAGTAGCAGGCATCTTAATGCCTACCTGATTTCTATAGAACTAAGTATAATCGAAATTATATTATAAAAATTATAGATTTACGATAAATAATTACTTATAAAATGAAATTACCATGCAATAATTTTATTACACAAAAAAAATTTTACATGGTAATTTAATTTTATAAATGTTGCACTAACTTAGCTATATAAAAGTTAAATTATTTAAATTAATTTGTATGAAATGTGAAAATTAAGTTATGTTTTGTTTGTTTGTTTGAGCACAAAGCTACAAAACTGGCTATCTGTGCTGTGTATGCGATGAGCATCAAAAACTGATTTTTTAGCATTATAAGCCATCCTGTTGAGTCACTGGTGAGGGTACTAATTGTGACTTGTCCATATTCATTATGTACAAAAAAATACTTTCGTTCAAGAAAACAAATGACACTTTATTTGAACCACACAATGTTGACAAAATTTAAAATTTCCAGAAAAAAAAAACGGAATGAAAATAGGAGCACATCACATTAAAGTTTAAGAACATCGTAATTGTAATTAAGATAAAATATGAACCAGTTATTCAATATCAGAATATCAAGTAAAGATATTAGTTGTTTTGTGGAGAAATAAAATTAGTGACGGTTATGAAAACTATTTATTATGTTAACGTAATTTCTACTGTTCAACTAGTACATTACTTTGCTTATTTTAATAGGGTAGTACGGTTATAAAAAAACAATTATCTAATCATAAAGTTGCTGAAAAAGTAAGCAAATGCAAACACAATTAAGAACACACACGAGAAAACCATCAAAAAATGTTCATCTTTTAAAGTTTTGCAAAAATCTAAAGCTACTCATGAATTATAATATCATAGATCTTAATAATACTTTGTTCTATTGTGATGAAAATAAAAATAAAAAGATTGGTATCACCTAGATTACAGTAAATTTTTCTATCTATTGTATAATTCTTTATCTTAGAGAGCCCACCATGGTTTTGCCTTCTGGAACACAGTTAACATTCATCAGTTGAAATCAATGCTTATATTAAAGCTTTAGATTTTATACTAGTACTTCAGAGAGGTTATCATACTCCAAAATAATGAGAATCTGACAAATTACATGCCACTTGGCATTGGACCTCCTCCCATTTTTTCAGCCATTTTTTTCATCAAACTGGCAACTTTAGGATTAGACTGATATTTCCCAATATTGGCTGGATTAGATGAAATATCCTGGAAAGCTGCAGCAACTTCCGGATCCTTAAAAAAAAATATATATATACATATCTTTAATTATATAACTTTCATAGTTTTGCTCACAAATTTAAAAAAAATTAGTAAGTGAATTTATTGGAAATCATAAATATAATATATAAATTGAAGATTTATTCTTTTCTATAAAACTATACAATGACAATACTAAATCTTTATTATTCTATCCAATATTTACATAAACAAATGCTATGTACGAGTATAATGGACCAAGACAAGTTAGGGGCAGATAAAGCAAAAAATACTAATGTTAACTGAATATATTAAATTTTTGCACTTGACAACAACATGAAAGTAAGTAAAAAATAATAATAATATTTATGAGTACTTCAAAAGTATTTTACAACAACTTGCACTGTTATTAAATATTCAAAACATTATTCAATTGAAATGTTTATAGCTTTCAATAATACAGAATTAATATGAATGATCATATTATATTTAATAAATAATTAAAATCAATTTTAAAACTTTGAAACCGTCAGCGGCTTCCACTTTAAAAGCCTATTCTACATGTACATTGTTTTGTCATCCCATATGTCAAAACAGCTTCCACTTTAAAAGCCTACTCTACATGTACATTGTTTTGTCATCCCATATGTCAAAACAATATACATCTAGAATGTGCTTTAAAGTGGAAGCTTCTGACAGCTTAAAAGTTTTTGAAGTTGCATAAATATAGAGTTACTACATTGACAGAGTTAACTACACCAGAATATGACCATAGTGTAAAAAAATGCATACAAGTAAATAAATTAAATCTATGAAGAGTAAATCAACTCTATAAAAATTATAAACTATATTAAATTCTGTTTTCGGGTGATGATTCTAAATATGGCTTAAATGTTTTTGACAATTTTCTTATTCACATTGGATGATTTCAAATATATAATCGATCCCTTTCATTGTGAACCAAAGCTACTCTTTTGTACAAAATTTTACTTGTTTTAGAGGATCATATTTTAGTACTTTTTTTTTCTTACTTGACAAATTTCCTTTTCATACATTTCTCTTAATGGTTAATTCAGAAGTTTATTACTCTGTTGTTGCTTGAGTTAGTAAATAGACAATACGCCATTAATTTCAGGCAACAATATAGGCTTTATATGCTTCTGTGAATCTTATCTCATTCATTCCACTTCCAACTAAAGAATACAAAGACAGACTAATATAATTATAACTGGGGAATATGACCTATCCTGTTGATTCCACTTCCAACTAAAGAATATAAAGACAGACTAATATAATTATAACTGGGGAATATGACCTATCCTGCTGATTCCACTTCCAACTAAAGAATATAAAGACAGACTAATATAATTATAACTGAGGAATATGACCTATCCTGTTGATTCCACTTCCAACTAAAGAATATAAAGACAGACTAATATAATTACAATGGAGAATATGACCTATCCTGTTCATTCCACTTCCAACTAAAGAATATAAAGACAGACTAATATAATTACAACTGGAGAATATGACCTATCCTGTTGATTCCACTTCCAACTAAAGAATACAAAGACAGACTAATATAATTATAACTGGAGAACACAACCTATCCTGTTCATTCCACTTCCAATTGAAAAATACAAAGACTGACTGATACAACTGCAACTGGAGAATATGACTTATCACAGTCACTTCCAACAGAAGAATACAAAAACTGACTAATCATACAGGCAGTACCAGTACCTATGTACAGATGGTTCAAATTGTTCATCGAAATGATATTTTAAATATCTCCTCACTAGGTCATCAGAACTTTACAGTATTATACAGAGTTTCCTTTTATAACAATATCTATGTAAAGATTCCTACCAATTAATAAATACTGTTGTATTCCAATAATAAACTTATGTGACTATTGTACCTGGAAAGCCTGAAGAATTTCGGGATCCTGAAAAAGTGTCTGAATTCCCGCTCCCATGCCTGAAGGCATTCCACCAGGTACTCCAGGAAAACCTCCTGGAAAACCACCAAATTCTGGACCTGCATTTCCAGCTTGAGACTGTTGTTTCTCTCTTTCATACTAGAAAACAGTATTATAATTATTAATTTTTATAGTGAGATAATTCTCTTTGAATACACTAAGAAATAAGATTCAATTTTATACATTTAATATCTTTTTTTTTTATAAAACATCACAGCATAAACAGATTTTTTCACAAACAGATCAACACATTATGTTTCCACAAGTTCAATACTTATCTAAGTATTGTTTACATAACAACATATGGACAAAAAAAACAAGTTTGTAAACACTTTTACTTGTTAATTATCTTTCACCTCAGTAATATAGGGGAAAAAATTAATTATTAACTTATAAAGATATCTTTCACATAAGACAGAACTGAAAAAAGAAAATAAGCTCCTCACTTCACGTTCTCTTTCTTCCTTAGCTTTACGAATTCTCTCTTTCTTTTCTCTAATTTCTCTTTCTTCTTTTCTTCTTTCATACTTCCTCCTGTGCTCCTGAATTTTTTTGGCCTAAGAAAGATATAATGAAGTCATTACACTGTTAAAGAATCATATTTTAAGTTTTCCTTTTTGTATAATCCAGCTATGCCATGCTCTTAAACACACAAGATATCTACAAACATTTAAAACACACTATTATGTATAGTTTCAAACATTCATTTATTTATTTGTTTACAATGGCTATCTTTGCTGTGCCCCAACGTTTAGCATTACTAGTCTTCAAGCTTCCTGCTGAGCCACTGGGAAATATTAACTTATTAATAAAGATATTGAGTCTGTATCATCTAATTTTGTTAAGGTTGCAAAAATAATATGGTAAAAAGGAAAATGAAACAGGAAGTAACTGACGAAATGTTGCAAAGGAGGGAATTTACACAGAAAAAAATCATACTGGCTGTTTTAAGGATTAATGTAACACTTTTTTTATATTTTAATTAAAGTTATAGCAGTTTATTTTACATTTTGCTTCAATTATGCCTGTTTAATAAATAACAAAAGACAGAAATAGAAAATCATGAGTTGCTTGTCAGGTGCAGTCAATTTTGTAAATAAAACCCAGATGTAGTCATAAAAACAATAATTTCCAAATATAATTGTGATTACAGCTTCTTCTTTTTTTTTCTTAAGACTTAAACAATTATTTACAAAATGCCTTTTTTTCAAACACTACTAGTAAAATGAACCAAGTTATGCTTCAAAGTCTATACACCTGATATACTTAATGTGGCAAGTACTTTAAATTGTTAAATAATACAAAATGTGTAATTAGTGAATTGAATTGGTCTCATTCACACTTCCATCTATCATTTTGTTAACTAACATTAACAGTCTCCCTGTTAAACTTCACAACAACATGCACATTATATTAAACCTCTAATGTAATATTATTAGAAAAACACCAAAAAAGGAGATAAAAAAATGCAGACTTCATTACTAAAATGTGTTATAGATACTGATAGTTTAAACCAATGTAAATAAATGTGAGCTCCGAGTAAAAAATTACAAAAAAGCCATCACACTACACTGCTCATCACGTGTCTAATAAAATAACTTCAGTTACATTTTGATAATGATCAGGATCCGCTGAAGACATCAAGGTAACATGCCAAAACATATATTTCAGCATTCATTGGACTAAAACCTTGATTGGCAATATCTTACAAGGTGGTTACATCGTACCACTAAAAATATGAACTTTTTAATTTAATAGTTTTAAAAAAAAAGATGTATTTGCAACTAAGTGAATTAAAACAAGTGATTACATTCTGCACACTTAAAGAGTGCAAGATGAATACATTATATAATGTAATTTCATTCACTGGAAAATCTGATATCTTTTTATAAGTTGTTGCTATTGACGTTCCACACTGTATTTAACTTTCAAACATTTGAAACAAATTCTGCACAAATACGTTTTTATTATTTATTTTTAGAATAGCCACTAAGACTATGTGCTGTTGTCCCCAGTTTTAACCTGCCGACCAGAAGAAAGACAAACAGGCTGGCAGAGCTCATAACCAACTCCTAGGCTACTCTTTACAAACGAAGATCGGAATTTACTGTCACAATATAACGACCCTACGGTTGAAAGATTAAACATGTTTGACTCTTGAGTTTCGACCCTGCTGGGTGAATGAACCAAACGTTTCATACACGTTAATGTAAAGGCCTATTGATCTATTTACTACCATTTTAAGTAAGAACGTATATATCTATACACAACCAATACTGTTGCTTATTTTCCTGTTTTATTAATACAATATATACCTGAAACAGATTAAACTAGCTACAAATTAAAACATTGATTTTATTTTACTATTAGATTAACTGTATTTCATACACATACATATATTTCAAATGTGGTGTTTAATTAATGTGAAACGAATGAGACGCCAGAATTTCATAATACAGCTCAAAATCTTCGGGCTTAATTTTCAGGAAACGCTACAAAAACAAAAAATATAGAGGTTATTGCGATTTTTGGTAAAATATATGTTGTAATTTTCATACGATAATTGTAAGTCCTGTCCGCATTCTAAAATTTCACCTAACAAATTAAATCCAAATTTTCTCAAACATTATCTTTACTGTTAAGCGTTTTCTTCCTAAATTCATTGCTAATTTAATGTATTCTCAAAGAAATATTATCGAAAAATATACACGCTTCAAATTTACCGCATAATAAGCCAAGACTAATATTTTTTTCTAATTCAACACGACAGCTGGTGTCGAACGCTAGGAGTCTCGTCACAACAATAATTTTTTTTTTAGTAGACGTATTCGATGAAAACCAAACGTACATGTCACACGTATAGAAAAATATAAATACACCTTACAATATCTTAGTGTCAAACAATTATTATTATTGAACATGTTACTAAGACACCGTCTTAATCGTCATCAGCAGAACGTGTACTAGAACACATGAATTAGAGACCTTGACGACATAAACCCCTTATTCCTTTATTTGGTTCTATGTCACTAGGATCGGGGAAGTTATTTTTGGACAATCTTTTGAACAGATTCCAAAAACCTTGCTCAAATTCTCCATTTTTCACAAGGAAAACCAGCGACACATTATTTGTTAAAAGTACAACACTTTCATTATGTTTAAAATATTTTCAATGCAGAAAATCTAATTTTTTAAAAATATTTATCTATTTAAAAGTTTAATGCTTTATTGTTCAAGCCGCCCGTGACACAGAAATCTTCAACTCTTATTGGTGATTTGAATGTCTGCGCGTGTTGCCGTGATGCCAATAAACTTGGTAGAAGGAAGAGTCGAGATTGCGTCCTAACGAGAATGATCAACAATAATGGGTTCGGGAGAATAATGTAACAGCATAATGGGGAGAGCGCAGAGACTTCCAGTTGAGTCGTCATTTTGAGATGTAAGAACGTACTACCTCCTCCTCTCGAAATAACGTATCGAAACAGCTCGGTCATTGTGGCCTAACTTACCACGATCGCAATGATTGGAAGTAAGCTACAACACCTGCTTTTATTTGTGTGTATTATCAGTGGATTCTGCGGGTCAGAAGGTCAAGGTGAGGAGAGTTTACGTATCTTAACAAAAAATAAAATAAATAAATGTGTATGTTTGGTAGTAAATATACTTTAATTTTGAGAACATCGCTTTTTTTGAAGTTGTCTACTTAAAAAATATTAGTCACGTAAGACGCATACGAAAGCTATAGAAATCTTTACTGTTCGTTTTAATCTTCCCTTACAAGCCATAGTGAGAAAGTTGTACAACTGTAGTAAAAACAATGACGATGATTACAGAAGAGGTTCTTTGTACAGTCTTTAAGGATACATCTTGCTGTTCATACTGGATCTGTTTAATTTAAAAACACAAAAGGTTCTGTAGCGGAAGACCATCCAACATTTACTGAACATTATATTATATTATAATATATAATTATATATTACATAGAGCAATCTTTCCAAGTTCAAGTACTCGAAAAAAAAAACAGTTTGTTTGTTGTTAAGCTCAAAGTTACACAATGGGCCACCTGTGCTGTGCCCACCACGGGTATCGAAACCTGGTTTTTAGTGTTAATTCTTCAGACTAACCCTGATAGAGAGAGAGGATAAACAATAGAAATATATATATTGAATAACACGAAAATACGAAATACCAACCACACAGAAATCTTTGGGTGCCAAATTGTCAGCATCAAATGACGTGGAGAACGGACGAGTTTACGAACTTGAGATATATTGTGCACGCATCTACTGATTACATAAAATATACCAGAAAGTACAAATTTACAAATACAAAGACATTTTAAGAACTGCTATACAAATAGTACTATTGACTAAATAATAGCAATTAACGTGGGAAAGTGAAGTGCGGTATATACTCAGATATGTTAAAGTGGAGAGCTGCGTCAACGTGGAGGATGTAAACCAAGCTGAAACGTAGAGGCTACTCAGGCGAAACGTTGTGAATTCCATTCTCTTCTTAATTTTCAGCGTGGAACTAACATCTCATATACAGATTTCCCAGTTTGCCCCGGATGAAGAAAGGTCTACCTTTCGAAAGCGCTCGGGTTATAGAGTTCTTATTCATCTCGTATACAGAAATAGTTTTATATTCAAACAGTTTTCCTACTAATGGGCAAAGGCCATATCACTCCAGGAATAGGAAATACAATACGTTTTTGTTTTTTGGTAGTGTCTGTTGGTAGTCCTAAATCACTGCACCTTGCTGTTTACTGGCAGTAATTTGAAATCTGTAAACACTAGAAACAAGGTAGTTGCCCTTCAAACCATTGGTTGTTTTGCCTTATAAGTGGAACCTAGTTGACAGGTGACGCTGTCAGTCGTCCCTGAACCTTTTTAATTAATATTTCATTCCTCCCAGTAACCTAATCAAAGCTTCATTGTAATTATTATTTTATCTTTATGCGCTTATTTTTCTCGCTAGCTACACAAGTTTGATTCATTCAGCATAAAATAGCTGTTTATACATGACAAGTGCAGCCTTTAGAAATTTGACATTATTATAAGCATTCAAAAAACCACGCAGCAATATGTCTCTCTTAATCAGTGCATATAGATGCATTAGATATGGTAAACTAGAAGCAATACTTATCATATTAAAATATTTTTAAACCAATGGTATGGGGGTGTAGCCCGTGTTCATAGTTACATTCCATGCAAAAAGGAATATGACTGTTGATTATGTGGCTGAAATATCATAAAGTTGTTTTATGCATTTGTCAACTGTTAGATTCAAGATTCGAACACAATCGTGAACATTTTACGAGTTTGTCAAAAACATGGATAAGTAGGTAAGCAAGGAGAAGAAATCGTTAAATGATGATGAAGAACAATCTGATGGCACTTCCTCGGTTTCCGCTTCTACTGTTTCTGTCGGTAAACTGAATACCAAACCAAAAACTAAAATGTTAATTACCAGGAGGATTTTACAAAAAATTAGTTTTAATTAAAGAGCTGCTAATAACAAGAAACAACTGCAGTGTGTACTCCTTCATAGATTTAGGCTAATGAAAGCAAGAAGCCAAATAAACTTAATAGGCATTAGGAAACCAAATACCCTGATCATGCAAGTAAAACCATCAAGTTCTTCAAGTGAAACAACTGAAAGGGCAAAGCAACTTGTTCGAAAATCAGGTCAAAAGCCTTGAAAGCTTCTTTAGAAGCATCTTATTTGATTGGGAAAAGCACGAAACCATATACTATAGGAAACACATTAGTTTTTCCCGCTGCAATAAAAAATGTGCGAGATCATACATAAAGTACAATATGGTGAGACCATCGAGTCTATCCTTCATCGCGTAACACTATCACAAGGCATATTTCTGCTGACACAAAAATGCAATTGAGAACAACTTGATGAAACCAAATATGTTGCAAATTTAACTCAGCTTCTGGTTTTTGTACGATACTGTTGTGAAGAGTTTGTTTTGCCAAGCACTGGAAGGGAGAGCTACAGAGGTGCCATCTTGTCTTGTTCATAAGTTTTCACCACAAACAATCTTTCTTGGATTGTATTGGAGTAAGAACTAATGGGGCAACTGTATTTGCAGAAAACAAGAAAGGTTTGATAAACAAAGTGCTCTTGCTCCAGGTGTAACATTTATACACTGCATTATACCCAGAGAAGCACAAGCTTTAAAGAAATTGCAGCCCGAAGCAAACAAAGAGCTACAAGATGCTGTAAGTGTTGTGGAATTTGTGAAATCAAGAGCTTTGAACAATAATCTGTTTCCACTACTTGTGGAGAAATGGGATCCATGTATGACAAGTTCCTACTACGTACAGAGGTATGCTATTGTCTCACAAGAAGGTACTCAGTCACATTGTACAGCTAAAAGAAGGTACTCAGTCACATTGTACATATAAAAGAAGGTACTCAATAGTCATATTGTACAGATAAAAGAAGGTACTCAATAGTCACATTGTACAGATAAAAGAAGGTACTCAATAGTCACATTGTACAGATAAAAGAAGGTATTCGGTCATATTGTACAGATAAAAGAAGGTATTTGGTCATATTGTACAGCTAAAAGAAGGTATTTGGTCATATTTTACAGCTAAAAGAAGGTATTCGGTCACATTGTACAGCTAAGAGAAGGTACTCAGTCACATTGAACAGCTAAAAGATGGATTTTGCTTTATTTTTTGTTAGACTTCAACCCCACACTAGCAGTACATTTTATGGATGAAAAGTGGCTTCTAGTACTGTGATACCTGGCTGATATTTTCGATAAATTCAACATATTTCTCACTGCAAAGTTAGAACAGCAATATTTTGCAACAGAGTGACAAAGTATCTGCATTTTACAAAAATATTGTGCTGTGGAAAAACCAGTGTGAGAGAGGAAAGGAGTGAAAAGTTTCCTTACCTCAGTGAATTCTTGGAAAAAATGAGTAAAATTATAGACATTGTTTCTACTCATCTCGAAAAACTTAGGAATGGGAAAACTGATTTTATATTCTTTCTTAAAAATATTATTCATATCATTATTACCTGTGAATGAATTTATACGTCTCACTCCACATGCTTTCAAATATCCTTCACAGACTTTAGATTTAAAACAAGTTTTCTGAGCACCCATTAATCCAATGTTTATTTAAAAAAGTGTTTGTACTTTTGTTTTATTATACATCTATGTTTTATTAAACAACATTTTCATTTTTCCTTTAAACTTAAAAAAAAACATAGAATGTCAAAACATTAATGTTATTAAAACACTAAAAGCTTTTTTGGGTGTTGCCTAATTGTCAGTTTACTGTAAACATCAGTGGTTTATTTTCAACCTGCATGGCCAACAGCAAGAATTAAAGGAATCTTCTACAATTCTAAAGCATCTAGTAACAATGACTTTGAGTTTGGATAATTACTTTTTGCAGAAAAAAAATGCTCTTTTACATTAACATTATACATATTGCATTAAAATACAAAGAATGCAAATATTTTCTGTTTTGCAAAACTGCATACTAGAGTGACAAAGAAATCCAAAAAATAATGTATATATTATTATGTCAAGAAGCATAACTTTAAGCCTTTTAAAGGCTTCCATTAAAACAGCGAAATTTAACCTGCATTTCAACACTGAGGTATGTATTTCCAAACTTATCTAGCACTGTTTACTAACTGTTAAACAAGGTAATGCTCAATTACATCTCATCTGAATTTAAATGAGATAGTTTTATACTAAAGTATGAACTTTTGAATATGAAAAGTAAACTGTAGTATTCAACTAACAAAGATATACTAAATCTGTATGTTTTGTTTTCTTATGCACAAAGAGTCATCTAGAAGTGTTGGTTGGAAAGTTCACATACCAACTCTACAACAATGTCGAGCCTACGTCAAAGCAGCCCTAACAGATTACTGGACAAAAAAAGTACTGCCTTTTTTCACACCAGGGGACACGAAACAAGATCAGGGTGTTCTACAAAAACCAGAAGGCTGGGTACCTAATGCAATAAATTTACCAAAAGAAACAAAGGCAATTCCTACTGAAAAAGTTTCCAAAAGCACAACAGAACACTCCTTCACAGAAGATAAAACAAACAGTTTATTACAAGCCAGCAGTAATCCTCCAAATCAAGAAAATACAATGAAATCCAAAAAAGACCCAAATTCTGAAGTAATATCAGCAACTGAAAGCAAAGTTTTGTATCCATCAGATTCTGAAGACACACAAAATTTTCAACAGCCAGAATTAGCTAATTCAGAAGAAAAGGAAGTAAAAGTTTATCATTCTCAAATCATTGATATTCAGCAAGATAGTGGGAGTTCTCAGGACAAAAAATCTACACAGGGTGAAAATGTTGAGAATAAAATGAAAAGGGTACACAGAGAACTACAAGAAACAAATGATAGCACTGACAGTCAAGAAATGTTATCCAAAGAATGTGAACAGTTTGATGAAGAGAATGAATATAAACCGAAGCAGTCTCAAAGTCTTGAAACAGCAGTAGGAAAAAATACTACAACAATGGAGTTAAATGATGAATTTAAAAACGAAATTATCATCAAAAGCTTAGAAGAAAAGGTACAATGTACATCAACTTGGTTATTTACTTAATTTAAAACACTGGTTGACAGAGACATTTTTTATAAATAATCAATGTAATTTAGTTTGTTTTTAAAGTTAAAAAGACTAAAATCTCTCAATGAACCATGTGAAGATCTGCAATATGTTCTATGTTGGTTTGATTAACACACTTGTGCCAGTAGTTGTTGGTTTGATCAACATACTTGTGCCAGTAGTTGTTGGTGTGATTACCAAACTTGTGCCAGTAGTTGTTGGTTTGATTAACAAACTTGGCCAGTAGTTGTTGGTTTGATCATCATACTTGTGCCAGTAGTTGTTGGTTTGATTAACAAACTTGGCCAGTAGTTGTTGGTGTGATTACCAAACTTGTGCCAGTAGTTGTTGGTTTGATTAACAAACTTGTGCCACTAGTTGCTGGTTTGATTAACAAACTTGTGCCAGTAGTTGCTGGTTTGAATTTCTTAAACAGTGGACCAAATTATATAACCAGAAGCTTTATCTATACCATTTCTTCTGGGATTTAGAGAGAAAAAAAATATGTTATATCATTGGTTTATGTTAGCACATCCTCAAAGGCCTAAATATCAATCAACAACCTGAAGTTTTGTACCATGCTGCAAGCAGGTAGTGGTTTGTTGTATTTATCACAATGTGATACAATAATGTATGACTAAGGCTTCTGTTAAAATATATTATTTAGGAAGCTATCAAGGAAAGACATTCATCACAGGAAAATATTAAAACAATAACTGATGACAGAAGACCAAAAAGAATGCCACCACGATCCAGGAAACATCTTGTCGAAATTTTGCAGCTGAGTGACATTGGCACACAGACCAACAAGGAAGAGAGTGACCTCATTCAAAGCATACTCAATGATATGAAGAAAATTTACAACATTGCTATTAAACCCTTAGAAAACCTGTACAAGTACAAAGAGATCTCAGACAGACACTTGGGAGGTCAGAATTTTTTAATAAGATTTATTTAAAAAGATAATATTTCACAGCAGAAGTTTACTTTTTTGACTAAAGATGCTCATATACAAATCTTTATAATAAAGGTCTATAGCAAATACTTCAAAATTACCTTCTATGGGTCTTTATTATGAAGATATGTACACAGACATCTACCATCAAAAACATTTATCTGTACTGTATGTAAATAAAAATATATTCTGTTAAGTTCCAAATATAAAGATTAAGTCTTTTTTTCCTCTTTATCTGGGAAAGGGCATTCTGAAGAATTTCAAGTAGACATGATGTGAAAAATATGAAATAGTGTATCATCTGATTTTATTTTAAATAACAACAGCAGTTCAGAACTTGAAGCGTAAGCTATAGTAACAATGTACTTCTAAATATTCTCTACCACACTGGAATATAAAATATACAGTAATCCCTGGATAACTCAGAACATACGGGGCTAAAACCATGCCGAGTTATCAGAAATTTCGAGTTATTGAGGTAATTTCCTCCCACCCACAAATCAACTTTTTTTGTCCCAAATAAACTACTATACACTACTGTTGTTTGAAAATAAATTAAATCAAAAAAACTTTATCAATTAACACTTAACAGCACTGCAGACCAAGAAAGATGATGATTCAAGCTTATGGTACCATTTGGTAGATGACAGAGGTGATTGTATGAAGGCTTAATGCACTTTGGTAAATACTGTACACTACTTTTGTACACACACACACATTTTGAATGGTTACTTAAACAATAAATCATGCACTTAAAAATTAAAGATTATTTGAATACACTAAGTTATTAAATTAGAAATTAAAGATTAATTTATTTACATTTATTTTATTAAATAAGTTATTCACTCTCTGAAGACATGAACCGTTGTGGGGGATCTGGGGTAATGTGAAGCTGGCACTGCTGGAATTGGTATCTGATCAAGAGTATCCAGATGCTGCAGGCAGACCTAAGGATGCTTCACTACTGGTGGAAGGAAGATTTTATCTGGGATTTTTGGACAGGGGTTTAAAAAAAAGTCAGATATTTTCCCCTGTTTGTAACTGCAGTGCTGACATCTGCCCTGATATCTCTCAAAGTCGCACAGTGCTGTTCCAAGTCAGGCAACCACTCAATTTCTTCCAGTTACTTGGTAGAATTTGTATGAACTCTTCTCACATAGTTAGAAAGCCTGAATATTTTTCAGGGATGCCGAGTTATATCGAATTCAAGTTATCAAGGGATTACTGTATAAACAAATTATATATTTAAGATATACTGTAATGTTAATTATATATATGAACACATACATTTAATTTTCAGATTCTGAAATTTTTGGAACACCCATGGTGCTGTTTTTAGGTCCTTGGAGTTCTGGAAAAAGCAGTATCATTAACTATTTAATGGGAAATGAAAGAGCTAACACCGCAAGAAAAACAGGTATGGTTAATATTGTTTGTTTGTTTGTTTTTGAATTTTGCGCAAAGCTACACGAGGGCTATCTGTGCTAGCCGTCCCTAATTTAGCAGTGTAAGACTAGAGGGAAGGCAGCTAGTCATCATCATCCACCGCCAACTTTTGGGCTACTCTTTTACCAACAAATAGCGGGATTGACCATCACATTATAATGCCCCCACGGCTGAAAGGACGATCATGTTTGGTTGGATGGGGATTTGAACCCGCAACCCACAGATTGCGAGTCGAGTGCCCTAACTACCTGCCCATACCGGGCCTGGTTAATATTGTAACTGAATAATGGTTGTTTTATTAATATTTAAAATGAAATCAAATAATTATATATGCCTTGAATTTTAACACACCATTCTTCAATAATCAATATGTTTCTATTCTTTAAAGCAGATTCATTTATTTTCTACAACTTTTTTGTCTTTGCTCATCTCATGCCAGGCCTAACACCCCTTTTTTATCTTCCACTATTCTAACTTTATCTACTTACCTACCTACCTATATAGTTCTCTGGCTTGTGTAACAATTTTTTGTGTAGAATTGGCTGAACCAATTTTAACAAAAATAACTCAGGTGGACCACCTCCTCCTCTTCCCGTTGACTGAGTTTAAATCAATCAGACAGATGGTTTAAATTTGGCAGCCAGTTTAACTTCATGACTGCGAATGAGGGCTCAATTGAGCAAAAAAGGTGTGTAGAAAATTGTGTTAATCCAAACAGAAGTGGCATTTCTTACTGCGCATAGAACGGGTACCTGAAAATAGTGGAAGTTGATGGCCCACGCCCCAATTTATAGCGTTAGGTTTAAAGTCCAGCATTGAGGGGTACCTTTGCTAGTACCCCGATAGTATTAATTACTCTCCGTTTTATATTTTTCTCCCAAAGATTTTTTCTTTTTCATGAAGCTCCTGAGCCAACAGATAATGTGTTTACGGTGATTTCCTTTGGAGAGAAATCAGACGTGTTGGATGGTACAGAGTTAGCAGCAGACTGGTCCTTTGCCAGCGTCCAGAAATTCGGCCAGTCCTTCCTTGATCACTTCAAAGGAATACGAATAAACCACCCTCTCCTTAGAAAGGTACGCAAGTATGCTAAGAAAATTCATATATGCTTCTATCTGAATTCACAAGTATTTCCTTACACATTTTAAAGTTATGTTTATACACTTATGTACCTGACCAACGGTTTCACTAACACTTCCACAAAAATGGAACGACAAACAATATGAAACAAAAACATTATTTAATGTGCAAAAATTAAATGTCAGTTTTTACCCTGGCCTAATGACTAGCGTGCCGGTCTGATGAACCCAAGTTCCCAGTTCACGTCCCGTTGCCGCAAAATCACCATTATAAATGGTTACAGTTGTCTTTCAACCTTTTCGATAACAGGGACTGGCTCGATGCCTCCCTAAACTGTCGCAGACTACTAAAATGCAAGTACAACGAAAAAACCATTATGATTTACACGTGATTATTCTGTCGATTATGTTTGCCTGTTTTCGTGAAATCCCACGTACACTGGCAAGGTGATTGGGACGAACCATCGCCGGTTCGTTGGCTGGTGGACTTGTCTTGCCTATCAGCCCAGAAGTAGGGACGACTAGCAAAGCAGACAAACCTTTTGCCCTGACATCGTAATACTGAACACAGAAACTGCCACACAACATCGTATCTTGTAGGTAACAGGGAGATACAACAACCGAGTAACTAGTTAAAAGTAACAGGAGTAAAAACCCACAACAAAAACGTGTTCAGGGTCATGAAACGTGTAATATATATATATATATATATGTGTGTGTGTGTGTGTGACGTGGATTACGTCATTACACGTTTCATGGCCCTGCTAGTACCAGTGTTATCGGTCTCAGCAATACTGATAGATATGTTATATATATATATGACGTGGATTACGTTATTACACATTTCATGGCCCTGCTAGTACCAGTGTTATCGGTCTCAGCAAAACTGATAGATGTATTAGATATATATATATAGAAAGTTGGTTAACTAGTATTTCCCGTTTCTCTCACTCAGACAACTTGGCTGTCGGGCATTGTTTGCTGCACTCTTCTCACTAACTTACCGCTGAGCTACCAGGGGGCCCGGCGTAATGAACAAACAAATATAATTAGGTGTAAATTTGAAGTTCCAATGAATACTGAACATCTTCAAAAAATATGCATTTCTGTATAGAAATACGTGAATGTTTGATTGGCTAGAGTTTTTTAGCTTATCCACCATATTATTTTAAAGTTTTGGTTTTCAAAGTTTGGTGAAAATACTTTCATTCTAAAATGCTAAATCGATTTTCTTAAAAAGAACATTTTCCTTACTAAAACTCTTCACCAGTATCCTACGACATATCCAATCATTTTACACAGACAATGGCAGTCACAAATTTAATCATTTCCAACGTTTTTATTCACGAGTCTCGAAGAATCTTACTACAAATTTAAACTTCTTATGTCAGTGAGTCTGCAAGAAAAAATGTTTGCTTTTTGTCACAATGTTAATATACGTATTGTGCAATCTATGAATTATCAAATACGACAAAGATTCTGTTGGTAAACAAATCAGATTCTTCCATATATATAAAAACAGATGCATTGTTTAAGAAACTAAGTTTAACTGTTTCTTTTACATAAGTGGGTATAGGTTTGCATGACTGTAAGCCCAATATAACATCTATTGGCCACAACCTTTAGCACAAACACTCCCAAAAAAAAGCAAATCCCTCTAACGAAACAGAAAGAGTCAATGTTTTAACAGCTTCTTATATATGCTTTATATACATTACGTTCCAAGAATGTACTCGAATAGTATAAGCTAATATCTTTTAAAGCTTTCGTGTGCTACACATACATAAAAAGTGCGCAAAAATCTTAGCCTAGAGACAACCCATCATAATATTTTGTTTGATTTTCCTTTTTCTCTGTTGTACGTGTAAAATAGTATATAGGTTACCAGTAACATGGAAATCCGATATAACGCATTCTTCAGCATGTTTATCCTGTTACCTACTTCTTTTTATTTAAATCTGCTTTCGTCTGGAAGTGTTCCATTACAGTCTTATGGCAGATTGTACTTACTGTACGTTGGGTAAATGGCCTCGCCCACTTGGTAAAGTAGCGGTTGTAGTATACAAGAAAAAGAGATGTGGCAACCCTTGTGATATATAACACCACTGACAGCTTTTCAGCTTCCAAAGCTATAGCATACTGTGTTTTCGCTGATAATACAACACTAATGACATGTTTTTTTTTATTAAAAATACCCTTGGTACAAAATAATTTTTTCTTCTATTCATATTGGTGATTATTCACTTATATATTAATCAACAATGGTCAATTATTTTATTTATTTATTTTTTGGAAAGTACACTAGGAACCATAGTTCAATTATTTTGATAAAAATCAGGAACACCGTTTAAAAATCTACAATAAAAACTAAAGGTCTTAATTATTTCAGGAGATTTACGCTATCGCTATTGCATCATCAGAAGTAAAGCTTACAGCTTTGCATAATTGCACAGAGTATTTAAGATGTGTTGTGATAAAAAAAAACAATTTGAAAAAATGAACTGAATCGCAATAAGCATTGCTAATGATAAGACGTTTCAATGTTGACATTACTGAACGAATAATACGGGGAAAATAATTTCAAATTTTACATGTAATGTACTAGATTAAAAGTGCCTACAAGAAAATTAATAGCGTACTAGCACTGCCATATTATACAAGGTGTAACTAGCCAACTCGCCAGTGTACTCAGCAAAAGCATGTGAATATAGTAAAATATATATTAATCAAACTAAACCTAATTTAAAATATTGTCTTAAGGAATATAAACGTTACGTGTTAATTTCTCCACTTGCTGAACACAGAGTCGAAACAAGTCATTCGATAAATTCCAAAAAAATTGTACCTTAAATCTCGTATTCAAATTAACGGTAATATTAGAGGATCGATAGAAATCTGTTTTGTAAATTAAATAACTCAATGCTAGATATAAATGAAAGATTAGCTGGTGTTAATTAAAAGAAATAATATTTTATTGTACAAAACAATTTATATTAGTACCGACCGCCCCTTAAAGTTGATACTGAGTTAAACCTCCTTCTCGTAAACATTTCCCTTTACGAGTATGTTCTAATCCTGTTATTTAACATTGGCCGTCTGACACATGAAGGTTTTACTGTGCATATTTAAACGATGTTCCTTTTTTTTTGTTAGAAGTTTCCTTATTTGAATTTTCACAGATTTGGTAATTTAACTAAACTGAAGCGATTCTATATAATTTAAAGACCCACAATCTTTTCAACATATTTTGTTTTTTTTTCTTCTATTAGTCGAATTTCATTGTGCTCACCAAATTAAACACATGGTGCACTGCGCTATGTAAAGTGTGGATTATTTAAGGCCAACTGCACCTCATAACAATGAGAGGAGAATCGGAGTAACGATATGTTATATAGAAAGTGGAATGAATTCATCTCATAAAAGCTTTCTGTAGTTTGTTGAAAGTTCAAGAGAAGTGAAAACGTCTGTTCTTGTGACACGTGTGATGCATGACAGACATAGGCGCCCGCAGGGGGTGGGGAGATGAGAAACATACCCATGATGACAGAGTTCATTAGGTAAGGCTGACCTATTCAATGCGAACGAAGATTGGATAAAAATTCTTCGGTGTCATTTTTTATTAAAAATTTTTGTTGCCATATTCAACAGAAAATTCCATTATACCCGTTGCATTCAGCATTATTAGTATAAACAAACTTAGAAAATTTACATACTGTTACTAATGTAGATTATGTTTGGAGAAGCATTATTTGACGAAATAAAAAATGTACTTAGTTTGTTTCGTACATCAGCGTAAAGCTACACATGCGCTATCTGCGCTAGTAATCCATAATTTTCAGTTGACTATAGAGGAAATAACTGCTTCACAACACCTACCTCCTGCACTACTCTTACTGAACAGTGGGGTTTGACTGTCACTCTTATAACGCACCAGAGTGCGGAAAGCAATTTTGCGGCAAATGGACGCGAACCACAATCCGGTATACTAACTGCTAGGCCGCCATCCACCTCCCCCTTTCTTTTTGTTATCGTGTCCTACTAAAATAAGTATTTCACTTTTTAATATTAGCATAAGCAAGGCTTACAAACTTATAAAATTTAACGTGCATATTACTACTAATAAAAAATAATTTTGGAAGAAGTGTTGCTTGACTATGTACTTTTACTAAAAATAATTCTAAACTTACATCTAAATTTAAATTTCCAGATGATACAAATCAGGTAAACAGAGTTTTACATTATAAATTATTTGTTTAGGTAACCCTCGTAGATACTCCTGGAATCAATGAAAACAGAAGAAGTCAAGAGAGAGGATATCCATTTAATGATGTTTTTCAATGGTTTATTGACCATGCTGACGTAATTTATGTCGTGTTTGATCCCTCAAAGCTTCAGCTAGGTACAGAAATGGAAGCCATTTTAGACCAATTAAAAGGCAGGGAGAATCAAACTCGATTTATTTTGAACAAAGCAGACACTATACGGCGAAGTGAAGTGATGAAAGTGATTGGACAACTTTTTTGGAACTTGTCCCCTCTCATGGGGAGTTCTGAAGCTCCCACCATCTATGCAGTTTCCTTGACTGGAAAACCTTGGCACACGGGTGCTTCTATTAACTTTCTAATGGACCAGGAACGAGCTCTGCTAGAGGACTTACGCGAGACAATAGACACGAGGGTTGAAAATAGAATTGCTTTCGCCCGGCGTCATGCTATGCGAGTACGAAACCACGCAAAGTTAGTGGACTGCTACCTTGATACTTTTTATCGACATAAGTCTATTTTTAGCAACAAGAAAAAACTGGCTGATGACATCACAGATCATCCTTTCCAGTACAGTATTTTTAATGGCTTAGAAGGCCTAACGAATATCAGTCGTTATGATTTGCCAGATCCACTTAAATATCGAGACTTTTTTCGCCTGCACGTACTTCACGAGTTTAAACCTCTTACTTCCACGTGTAGTTACTTCTTAGGCTGTCCTTTGGACAGACTGGACACCGCCATTGCTTTAGATCTTCCTGAACTTTTCGAAAAGTACAAAAAACAATCAAAAGTGCGATTATACCGAGAAAAAGAGGATGAAAACAACGAGAATAACAACATTTAAGCCAACCTGGTGATAAATGCAGTTTATGAGCACACGTTTATCACTAAAGCTGGTCGCAACAAAGGACGTAACGTTAAACATATTAAGCCAACTTAAAGCCTGCCGCTGTTTTCAATCTCTGCATCTGAAATTAGTCTTGAGTAGGTGATCGTATATCGAGCCAAAAAACCATAGAATATTACACCTTTTAAACAGAAACACTGTAAAAGCAAACTGGTTTCATATATAATGGATTAGCAATACGGATCTCTAAGTAACCCAGATGCAAACTAAGTACACTTTATACTTCTTTATACTGAACATTAAATATCCCAAAGGACTGTTGAACATTTTAATATTAAAAAATGTTCCTACATTCCCAATCAACCGATATACTGTAGCAAACACTTTTCGTAAAAAAAATAAAAAAAATAACATGAATTCCCGTATTTAGTTGTTTTTTTTTTTAACTTCCAAATGTACAAGGTATCTTCCTTGTTACGATTTTGTGATTTTAAGTTTTCTTTGTGACATAAACAAACACCCATGGATAGTTGATATATTTTACAAGCGTGTTTGTCGTTATATGTTTTTGTATACTGTCTGTAAGTT